GAACCAGATTCAGACGTTTTGTCTCGAAAAATTCATCTTCAGTGTATTCGTTCCAAATTTATCTGATTTTTTTATTGAGATTTCTTTGTTTATTGAATTATCGTACACTCTAAGTGTCGTTAGACCCTGTGAAATCTATCTAGTTATTTAAAGTATTAATTAATAAGGGTTGAAAAGTTGCAATCAATTCAAAATTATTTTATAAGAAGGGAATAAATGTTTATTTAATACGAATGCACATTTAAAATGTTTCTACTCTTTCAATAATATTTTTTCATTTTATTTTCGAAAGAAGGGGTATTTTTCAAGGGTTGAAAAGTTGCAATCGATAAAAAAGATCTTTTAATAAAAAAATCAGTTTTAATTTGATAAAAATGCATAATTAAAACGTTTCAAGTTGAAAAAAAAATGTTTATATTATTTTCATCCAAAGGGGTTAAAAGTTTTTTCCGGGTTGATAATTTGGGATACATTAAGTTTCATGTTAGATAGCACATGAAATTAGTCATACTGCACAAATAAAAAATATTTGATTACATAAAATGCTTAAATTTGTATTTTTTTCCAATAAGGGCTGGTTTTCACCCCTTAAGTACAAAAAGCACACCTAACGCATATATAAGTTTTGAAGTGGAGGGCAAGATGAGCCTAATTCTAAATTTTAAGAAAAATCGATGCAGTTGTAAAAAATTCGGAGGTATTACTATAATTTCAGCTACAGTAACTATTACTTTATTGAATTTTAATGGTTTTATTAGTAAAAGTTTATTAGTAGGTACTTAAAAATATTTATGTATTTCAATTATATTTAAAAATTTGGTAGTTTAAACGAGGATTACAACTGCATTTGCAGTAATATACGAATACCTATTAGGTTAACGGTCGACTCTATTGATGTCAAAAGTATCGGTTTTATAATAAATCTCACTACATTTATCAGGCAGTGTAAGGTGTGTGGTTTACGAATTACAAAAGATACTCAAAGTGACCACCTCTCGTTAAAATTCTGTTTGACTTTGAACAGATTCTTCTATTTTTGCCCACAGCTGTTCTTGAGTATGTATAACATCTTTATAAACCAAAGATTTAACGTTACCTACACCAGAAATAAAAATTCAGCACATTTAAATCAGGGCTACATGCAGGCCAAGGGAATTAACTGCCGCGACCAATTCAACGGTTTGGAACACTTCTGTCAAGAAATTCTCTTAGTGGTCGGGAATACTTAATGTGCGGGAGCACTATCATGCATAAACCAATAGGTTTGCCATAAATTTAAAGGGACATTTTCAAGAAGGCGTGTCATTCATTAAAATATTTAAATAATTTGCCACATTAAGTGGGTATGGCAACACAAATAGTCCCAAAATGTTATCAGAAAAATTCCGTGCCAAATATTTATTGAAAATTCATGCTGAAAATGCTGTTCTCTAAGCATGTGATGATTTTCCAGTTACCAGGAATAGCTGTTTCTCCAATTAAATACACCGCGCCTGGTAAATGTAGCTTTGCCTGTAAATAATATTTTATTATAAAATCCGAAATCTACCAGGGGATCTTGTGGCATCAACTTTTGAACCAGATAAAGGAAAGGATACAATTTTTCTTTATGTAATATTCTGAAGACGGAAGACTGACTTACACCAGTAGCTGACGAAATTTGCTATTATAGCTGTTTTACATTGACAATTTATTCATCAATTAATTCGCGCATTTATTGGTAAACAGTTAGAGCTGGGTCGTTCATGAACGACTCGCACGAATGTGCCAAACAGTGCGGTTTTACTGGTTTTACACTGCTACAGACTTTGTCAAGTTTTTTGACGTATGAATCAGTTCTACCAATGAATCAAAGAAGCAAATAAATTTCAAAAATGTCACCTTTCCACTTATAATTGTAATGATACAACAGCGGTACCGTTCTGACACATATTATATAAATATTAGTTTTTGTAAATAACAAATCAGTAAAAACAATGCAAAATTAGTACGATGTCTGACAATTATTTACATATTCCAATAACATAACCTCATTACTGATCTGAGGTTGGAAATCTGTTGGATTAGTACTTCCGAACTTCACGTTGACGAAAATTAGAACATGCCCTAATTCGTCAAGAACTTGATGAATAAATTGATGAAGTTATTTGACAGCTGATTTGGTGCATTACACTTGTCCAATTTCTTGATGAAGCGACTTCATCAATTAATTGATCAATAAATTGTCAATGTAAAACAGCTTTTAGAGCATGTTCTAATTTTCGTCAATTTCTTCGTGAAGTTCGGAAGTACCAACCCAACAGATTCCAGCCTCAGATCAGTAATGAGGTTATGTTATTGGAATATGTAAATAATTGCGTGGCGTCGTACTAGTTTTGCATTGTTTTTACTGATTTGTTACTTACAAACACTAATATTTATATAATATGTGTCAAAACGGTACCGCTGTTGTATCACTACAATTATGAGTGGAAAGGTGACATTTTTTAAATTTATTTGCTTCTTTGATTCGTTGGTAGAATTGATTGATTCGTCAAAAAACTTGACAAAGTCTGTAGCAGTGTAAAACCACACTGTTTACCAATAAATTCGTGAATTAATTCATGAAGAACTTCGTCAATTTTCTCATCAATAAATTGTCAATGTAAAACAGCTATAAGGAAAGACCCTCAAAAATTAAAAAAACATATTAGGCATTTTTGAAGAAAGAAATGGATAGCATTTTCGATTTGATCACACCACAAAATTCTAAATATAAAGTTTCATTATTATAGCTTTTACAGGATGTTCACAAAATAGGTGCTAACTTCGAAAAATTCCACTCATTGCAGAGTTACCTGTATTAACAGTGGAAAATATTTTCAAGTATTATTCCAAAAAAATTAACTCTGGAGAGTTAAACATTTTTTGACTAATTTGGAGTATAAAAAAAATTTTCAACAGTTGAAGAAAAACAATGAAGACACAATGTGTCCTGTATTTTCTATTGCATGAAATCTTTTTCTCTACAGAAATAGATGCAAATCCGTATTATATACAGTTTCTTTTTACCTTGGTTTATTCACTAAGTTTATCATGGAATTTTGCACTAGTTTGCTCTGGAAAATACAGGGCTGCTACTCTCATTATACAGTTGATGGCACTGCTTCGGTTTCAACACTGCTTCGGTCTCTACTATCCCTTCCAACCACCAGTTCCTCACAAATAGGTCTTGTACATAAGCGGGATTAGCCCAAATCATTGAGAGGGCAAACATCGCTCGAAAAATGTTTACCAGATCTAGGACGTAATCAAGAAATATCTACCTTTGTGACACACGACACACAAAAAAACCGGTGATCGCACTCCCTTGAAGTTTAACTCTGAGTTTAATTTTTCAATTGCAATAATAGGCGGGATTGAGGGGGGACCAAGGGGGGCAATTGCCCCCTCAAACCCGTCTTGTATAGGTTTTAACTTCTTGTTTGGGCCCTCCAAAAAGAGACACTACAATCTGAGGACAGTTTAGTAAATGTAGGTATGAAATATTCCTTTTTTCCTGTGTTGTTTTCATATCCTCTCTATATGCGTCATCAATGTTTGTTTTTGTGTTTTCCGACTTTATATTACGTTTTCATGAGTTTTTACCCAAAAGTTTGTGTGATGCCAAATTTTTAACAACCTCTCTCCTTCAATTTCAAAATCAACTAACTTTTTGTTTCCCGGTCCGTTTCCTAGTGACCGCACTCACGTAAGTATATGTTTTAAATTTTCACTGCACTCTTATAATGCTATTGACAATAATTTAATGAAAAAATCAATTTTATTTTTGTTATAACTAATTACTACAGTGTTAAATTTTCTTACTATTCTCTTTAATTCCTCTTTACTTTATATTTTGATTTCATGTGAATTATGTTCCAACTTTAGAAAATAATTTAAACAGGGATTCTTATTCAAATATTTATTTATAGAAATCATAAAAAAAGCAATAATAATAAGTTTTTATAGTCATATTTATTTAATTTTCCCCTCCCTTAACATAACTTGTATATCAAGAAACGTCTTTCCCCTGGTTTCTGGCACAAATAGGGCAATGAAAATTATTGATAAAGCTGTACAAATGGCGAAAATCCATACGGACCACGCCATTCCCAGAAAAAGCGAAACATTTGGGAATAACATTGAAATGGTGAAACCGCACATAATATTGGTAAAAGTAGCTAATCCATTTAAATATGTTTTAAGATCGGATGGAAAAATTTCGCCTGCTATTGTCCAAACTATAGGCCCAATACCTAAATTAAAACAAATAATGTAACCTAAAATACTAGATATAGGTAACCAGTTTAATTTACTAACGTTGGACCCATTAGACAGCAGAAAGAAATAAGCACCCAATGAAACTAACGACAGAAAAACTCCCATATTTGAAGCAATAAGTAGTTTCTTCCTATCAATTATGTCTATAATTTTTGATGTTAAAGCTGTGGTGTTCAGCTGTACCAAGCCAACTATCATTACGGATATTTCTCCTGGTATGGAAGTGTTAGTAGCATCGAAAATTGTTTGTAGATATGGTATTATTGCCAAAATTCCAGTAAACTGTTGAAAAAACATTAATCCGGAAGAAATTAAAAAACATTTCAAGACAATTTTAGATCTAAACATTTCTCTTGGAGATTTTTTAGTCTTAGATTGTTCAACACTGTTTATAACATCCAAAATTTCTTTTTCTGCGTAACTTTTTGAAATCTGCCTCAATCGGGTTAATGAATTTATTGCGTTTTCCTTTTTATTTACCAATATGAAATAGTACGGGCTATCTGGTACAAATAAACCAAATGTTAACAAAAACAAACCTGAGGGTATCAAAGAAATTATAGCCAGATTTCGTATGGTAACATAAGGACCTATTATGTATACTACAAGTTGTTGAAATGATATCGTGACACTCATAAACAAACTGGTAAAACCTCTGTTCTCTACACTTGAAATTTCAGCCACATACAAAGGTACAACTGAAAACACACATCCGGTTCCCACTCCAATAAGAAATCTTGCAATGTAGAAAAGGGAAACTGTGTTCGCGAATATTAGTATTATGTTGGAGGCCAGCATAGGTAAAGAAAATATAATCATTGTATTTTTTCTTCCGTATTTATTGGCCAACGGACCGATGAAAAGTGGGCAGACAGCAGCTCCTAAACTATGTAAAGATGTTATCCAAGAATCTTCCAAGACGGTTGTTGGTCGCTGAAGTGGATTATTCTCAGGCCCCATAAGTCCCCGCTACTTTGAAAGAGATGGTGATGTCCAAGCGTACCCTATAGCGCATACCATCGACATCAAATTCACTACAAAAAATAATAATAATTAAATAAAGCACACCAACAATAAATTCTGAAATACTAATGTATCGTGCTACTAAATGTACCTATATACAAAGTATCTTTTAAGTATATGTCATTCATAACTTCAGGAGGTTGTTCATTAAGTAATTATAGATGCCTTAAATGAACCACTTATTTTCGAGTTAGGTACTGTTGAAGTTTGTAAAAAAATATCACATTTATTCAAATACATCTGAAGATGCTTGAAGTACATTCTTCCGCTTCGGCTAATAATTAATTAAAGATAAATAATTACTAATTTCAGATAGGTACAAATCTCTAAACAGTGGCTGAAATACTGTGAGGTACCTACTATCACTAAGAACCCCCAACATTTTGACGACAATGATGAAGTATTTTAAAAACTAAATTGGATTAGTAAGTACTACAGGTAATTAACAATTCACTTGTGGTATGGTGTAAGATTACCTTGTGTGGTTAATATATTTTCTCATATACAAGATGTCTAAATTTAGTAATGTAGCGCTCAATATGGAAATACTGAAAGCACGGGACCTTGGAGGGGCGACAGGTGTTCAGTACGAGTTTGAACTCGATAGAGTCATTTGGTTGTCCGAGGTAATTATTTTTCTCGTGAAGCCAGTTTTCGTAGTGCCGCGTTTTAAAAATGAATGACATTAATTTCGAGCAACAGTGTGCCATTAGGTTTTGCTTCAGATTTGGGCACAGGGCAAAGAAACTTTTGTAAAACTTCAGCAGGCCTACGGACACAGTGGTTTGTCAAGGTTTTTCCATCAACTTACTTTCTTCTGAAAATGCTTTAATTTTCAGAAGAAAGTAAGTTGATGGAATATGAACCACGCTGCGGAAGGCATTCAACTGGAACGATCAAAATGTCCAGAGAATCCGGGATCTTGTGCGTTTAGATCGTTAGTTGATGGACAGAACAATGATCGGGGAACAATTAAATTTGAGTCATACCACCGTATATCAGGACCAATGCATTGGGGATTAGAAAGATCTGCTCGAAAATGGTTCCAATAAGCCTTACGCAGGAACAAAAAGCCATCAGAGGAGAGAAAGGTGACTTTTTGGAATCGATTAAAAATGATCTAAATTTTTTGGACCATGTCATTACTGGTGATTGAGTTGGGTATTTGACTACCCGGAAATGAAATGCCTGAGCAAGGAATGGCACACTTCAGCCTCTCGAAACTCCAAAAAAGCAAGAGTCAGCAAATCAAATATTAAAAGCATGCTGATTTTCTTATTGATAGCAAGGGAATCGTCCACAAAAAATTTTGCGTCAAAGCGAGACAGTCAATTAACATTTTTACCTAGTTTGAGAGACTCCGAAAAAGATTCATGCGTGTGAGACCGAACATCAAGAACAATTAGATCCTGCATCACGACAATGCGCTTTGTCACACAGCAGTTTCAATAAATGGGTTTTTGACGTAAAACATTCCTGTGGCTCCTTAGCATCCTTACTCACCTGACTTGAGTCCTTGTGACTTTTTCCTCTTCCCGAGATTAAAAAATCATCCTAAGGGACGCCATTTTGGAACACTCGAGAACATTAAAATTGCTGTAACCGACCAGCTGGAAGTTATCCTAGTATATGAATTCCAGCCTGCTACGAGGACTAGAAGAATCGTCATCAACGCTGTGTGGCCTCCCAAGGGTATTATTTTGAGGGAGACAATACTGATTCTATTCGAATAAAAATATTTAAAAACTTCAGTCTCATTACTTTTATACACCTCGTAATGTAACTAAGTATTCCATTTCTCTAGTTACATTTCGTCAATTTCAAACGGTAAAAACTTTTTTACTTGAAATTGAACACCGTTTTGCTCAATGTAAAATTATACTCTTATTTGTCTAATATAAGAATTTTAGGGACAAACTTATAATTATATATATAAGTTTAATTTACTAACGTNTTTAAGCGAGACACCCTGTATATATATATATATATATATATATATGTATATGTATATATGTATTTAAGATTTTCTTATATTTATATTTGCACTAAAATGCACTCGTTTGATGATGGGTGAATCTATACCTATTTGATGGTTTTACTTACTATCAATTAATCAACTACTCTACTAATCAACATCTAGATCTAGAGTCTAGCTAAAGCGTGGTCTACTTAATTACTTGAAGACGCCAACATGCTTTAATTAAATCAAAAGAAAATTTTATTTCACATCTACCTATCATATTTAACATTAGATTATATTTAAAAAGGCAAGATAACCGTTAATTAAAATTTAAGGGTTAACACCCCCTGTCTCGAAAATGAAACCTTTCAGGACAGGTTCATATGAACTTATCTCCTTAAAATTAAGAAATGCAAAACTTTACCTGAGGCAACAGCGAAGTACAGAAAAAGGTTTTTCTTGAATCCCATATTGATTAACAAAAAAGGTAGATTATTCACTCATATCAAGTTAATTGTTGCAGATGAGAACCCCAAAGTGATACCTTATATAGTTTTTTTTTTAAAGAAATCATAAATTTATCAACTATACAATATGTCTGAGCCAGGTCTTTACTGTACAAACCGAAAATAAAATAATATAATAGAATATCTCTGTTTGATTTTATGTAAAGCAATATATTATACATGTTAGGTAAACAGTTAGTATGTATTTTATATTATTAAAATTGTATGATATTTCTTTCATGAATAATAATAATTTCATCAGGTTGCTATGAGACGAGCGTTATTAAATAAATAACTTAGGTACACAGTAATCGCCATATTTGTTCCTATTTAAATCCATAAAAGTAATTATTTATTATTATACGAGATGGAAGAATCCACATTAACTTCGTCAGAAATTATTGAATCTGCAAAGCAAATAGAGTGTAAATTATTATAAGAAAAATCGAAGAAGATATATCAGCAAACATAAAAATGTATTGATTACCGGGTTGAGAATAATAGTATGTCTTTTTCAAAAAATATTATTTGTTATTTATGTGATAGGAACATTGGCAGAACGTGTAGAAGATTTGATGACATAACAATATTAATCTATTTCAGTAGAGTACCCAAATACCTTCAAATAACGCAAAAACTGGAAGAGATAAGTGTGGGGAAACATAGTATGGATGGAAAGAGAATAAAATGGCACATCCAAATTTGAAACAATATAGGGGGTGTTCCATTACAAAAAATTAAGTTCCAGTGGACCAAACTCCGTATTGAATATCACCACCCTGTATAAGATTCGGTAACTCTGAAAATGGTTATGCAGCTTAGGCTCCTGCTCCTACAAATTATATTGCTTTATCTGTCTAACTGTAGAATATCGCAGGGCTTTAAAGTATAGATTCTGATTTTTATTTATTTTCCCCAAAAAGTTAAATATCTCGAAAACGGATAATTTTTAGGAATAGGGAAACTTGAGAAAGTCACCTTTAAAATGAAGCGTAGAATCCAAAAATGTAAAATATACATAGTGTTCCATTTAAAATAACAAAGTTGACAAAGGTATAACCGGAACTGTTGCGGGAACATAATTAATAGATTTGAAAAGAGCACACCCAAAAACCAAGTGTGCCAATTTTCAAAATTTAAATCGAAGTAGGTTTTGAAATAATCTAATAGGTCACACTCTTTGTATACTATCTACTGATAGTATAAGATTTTGTATACTTTTAATATTCAAATGGTAAAGTATATAATCAATTAATAGGAAATCGTACATTTGGGTAAATGCCAAAACAAGTTGCTGCGTTTCTCAAATGGAAGGATGCTCACGAATATACCGGACCGGACATTGTTTCCGTAGAACTTCAGCTATTAATACATTCAGGAGCTGATATCACAACTTTAAAAATGCATGTGGAAGTCTTGGAAGCGATTTTTAAAATAATTTAACCACTTTGGAGGATTCAGTAGTACCTACCTAATTAAACTCGCAGCATTTTTAAAACAGAAAAATAATGGTTATAAAATCAAAGAATCATGTTTATTTGCAAAAGAAGAAATAGATAAAATATTTGAAGCTGCTGATGACGAATATCTATCAAAAAAGGTACATTTCATTATTAATTTGTGTTTAGCACAAGAAACAAGAACTATATTCTAGGTTATTGTGGTAATTGGGGTGGCAGGTGGTGCCTGCAGATCAGATGAATTGTGCAATATGGTTATTGGTTATTGATGATTTAGACATCCGAGATGATACATACTATTGTAATAAATATTCCTAATTCAAAGAATGGAACATCTAGGAAGTTTGTTATTATTGAGCTATAATGAATTTAATGTGTTTAAAAATGCCTAGCTGACAGACCAACTGACATTAGAAAACTTTTTATTTTATACCGTAGAGGTAAACATATTAATCAAAATATGTTATGGCTCAATATCTGAAATTAGAAAATTCTAAGTGTTATGCTGGTCATTCTCTAAGCCGCAGTTCGGCATTGCAGAATATCAAAATTTTCCAACTAAAGGTAATTTACAGCACGTAATTACTGGACTATAATAATAATTTGTGTGAAATTTACTACACGGGTGGCTTGGTGGCAAAGTCTCGTACAGTTTATGTATGATATGCGGTCTTGAGTTACATAGATTTTCTTTGCTCTGTTCTCATTACCATTTATCGGGGACCACAGACATGCGGAAAATGTTGAGCGGCCCAGGTCTCTGGTAGGCTGTCACAACCATGTCCCCGAGCATACTTTAGGTCACCCATCCAAATTCCAGCCTGTGTCCGTGATGCTTACCTCAGCAAATCGAAATCCACCGACCAAGACACCCGACTAGGCGGTCCCCGATGTGAGGACCTAGTAGAAATGATATATTTTCATACATACGGCACCAACTTCTCCAAACAAACAATTACCTACCTACCGTACTAATTTATATAAAGCCTTTGGCTTGTACCAAATGTTTACCAATTACAGTGTAGTTGAATCACGGTTGGATATATTATGTTCATCTATAACTCAGATAAAGTGTTTATATAATATTTGACCTTGTTTTATTTTATTTATATGACTTTATTATATGTATTAACAATGTTTGTAATTTATAGCCATTTCTCTTGTTATATATTTGTGTCTTTTTGTGGTTTTTAGCTGAATTTTGTTTTCTCTTTTTATTATTGTAGTTTGATATCCTTATCCTGTAATTAAGTACCTACTTATCTGTTGGATATAGTAAATAAATAAATATAAAAATAAGACATATAAGTATGCTACTTAGACCGCCTAATATGGAACAATTTTTTGTGAACTACCAAAAGGGTAAATGTAGGTACGAAACAAATGGTTGGGATCAACAAAATTGGTAATCAACCCAAAGTAATGGCTGAATTTTTTAAGTTACCGAACGCAAATCTATATACAGGACATTGTTTCCGACGTTCGGGCGCCACTATGCTTGCAGATGCTGGAGGTGACACTCTAACAGTTACAAATATTGACACTAATAAACGTGGAATGTGGGTACAGTGTTGCAAAAAATGAATCTGCGGTACGTACATCGAAGGCAGTAGAGAGAGTTTCTTTGTATTGTCTGTGGGGATTCAGACGATGAAGATTTTTTCAAAACTCGATTTAAGAAACAATTTAATATTTTTGTATAGCGATAAAATAATTTCTTCAATGCAGAAACGTTATTGTTACTTTTATTATAGAAATATCCACACAAATGCCAATAATCTACAAGTAGTTACCTATATCTATATGTAATTTTTTCCCATAATAAAAAAATAGAAATTTTTGTGTCTGGATTTGTATTATTCTGGGCATTTTTTCAACATTATATATTTGATGACAAAGTAGCCTCAAATAATTTTGTCACCCCATTTTTTTAAACGGTTTTATGTACATTTTTAATTTACTTAAATAAGTATAAAGAATAATAAAGTCGATACACCCGGATTTTTCTCAAATTTAAATCAATAAAAATTAACGAATTACCTAGAAAAATACTCTTAAAACATGACACGGCAGCCTTTTTTTACTGTAAGTTTCTTAATACAGGGTGTTTGGAAAAGTTGGTACAAAATTTGAGATGGTAGAGCCAAAAATAAAAAAAAAATGTTCCTATAAACATTGGTCCGAAGCATCGTTACTGAGATATGGCCCTCCAAAGAAGTCTTATCATTTAAATATTTTTTAAAATAACTTTCTTTGTGATAATGGAATGAAAATTATAGGTTAATAATCATACCTTAAAGGTCTTTAACTACCTACCATAAGTTATATCAAAATCGGTTATAAATAAGGATAGTTTTCTAACTAGGTACCCTAAGGGGGCGATTTAGTATGTATATTTTTACCGTGTAACAGAGCTTTAGATGAGGACACAAATCATCGAAGGAACTAACATAATTGGATATTATTATATATCAATGTATTCGCAATGGTTCCCGCTAGTGAGTGAGATAATTTTCAATGCTCATGAGAACAGAAGAATAATTTAAATAAATACCAAAGTACCTCAATTTTAACCATACTGTTAGTCTGTCAATATATTGCATTTACGACGGAACTAGGTCAGGCACAATAACCAAACTACTTCACTCACTAGAATGGATACCTATGATCATTTGTATTTAATTTTCAGATTAATATTTATTAA